AATTGTAATCATTGAATAAATTACCAGTTATACACAAAAATGTATAACTAATTAAAAATAAACAGAAAACACAATGGTCCACTTATAGTTTTTATTTTATAGAATTTCAAATGGTACAAATGAATAGTTGCAATAGTTTAAAAGAAGCATGATTCCAACAGTTGCAATGGTTTAATAACCATTAACACAATACTAGGTGCAATGTTGGTAAAATAATCTTAAACTCAATAATGTTTAGTAAATAACATAAACTCAAGAGTTGCAAGGATTGGTAAAATAACTATAATCTCTAGAGTTGCAATGTTTAGAGAAATAACCATAAAATCAATAGTTGCAATGGTTCACTAAAAAAAAGGTAACACTTAAATCTCCAACATTCATTCCCCACTAAAATGTAATCATATATTCACTAATAAACAACACACATACTAATAACAAACTAAAAGACACAACCATACAATAGCAAACAGTTATATACATAAAAATACAATTTTTAAAAAAATATTTAATTGAAAGACATAACGGTTCATTCATAGTTTTTCACAGAAATATATAATTTAAAAAAAAATAAAAAAACAAAACTTTATAATAATGATAACTTTTTCATATTAATAACTGCTATACACAAAAAATATAATTAATTAAAATATTAATAAAAAAAAATAAAATAGTTCATTCATAGTTATTCATATCTTTATTTTCTTCACAGATTAAGGTTTTTATTTTCTTTTGTCTTGGAATTTTTTTGTGATTTTTCATTTTCTTATTTTTAAAACTAAAATCTTCATCACTTTCACATAAATTAGCTTCTTCTTTCTCTTCTTTTTTCACTTCACATCCAAATCTATTAGTTGTATTATCTACTTTAGAAAGTGCATCTTTATTCTCCATTATAGTTTGGTATATCATGTTTCTTGTGTTCAAATAAATAATATAACTAATATAGTATAACCAAAAGTAGTGCTACACTTGCATAATTAATGATAAATTAAAAATCAGATTTTAAAATATAACTAATAAGCTCATAAAAAAAATTATGTTAACTTCTAAAATTAGTGATAAACTTGTCAAAAGAATTATCATTTTTCCGTTTACTCCTAATTTTTTAAATTTTTTTCCAAAACTATTTTTTTGGATATTGAGAGGATGTGAGACCCTCCAATCCAAGATCTTCTTTATTTATGGCTAAATAGAATTTTAAAAACAAATTTTAAAATAGAACTAAAAAACATAGGAAAAAATTGTATGTTGCCTTTTAAGATTAGTAAGATAATTGTTAAGAGAATTACCATTTTTTTGTTTAGTCCAACTTTTTGGCTTTTGTTCCAAAAATATTTTCTTGGGGAATGAGCATATCTTTCATCTTTCATTTGAAATTTTTCTTTATTCATATCTAACCATCTACTAAAAAATCTTTCGTGTAACACCATTTCGGTAACAACTGTTTGCAAATAAACAATTTTTAGATTAAATAATTTTAATTTAATTTAAAGTTTATCAATAATAAATTGATATATAAGAGGTTGTTTTTCAAAGTAGGAGATCATTATAAAAAATTCAATAAAACAAATAATGAAGAATGAAACAAAATATATATAATCTTGAAAAGACATAAGTATTAAAAGAAGCAATCTTTGAAAATCAGCGGTTATATATGAAATGGTACAATTAATAAAATAAAATAAAAAGACACAACCGTAGAACAATAAACATTATATAATTTAGCAATTATACATGAAAATATACAATTAATTAATATAAATAATTATTAGAAAGACACAATGGTTCAATGGTTCTTTCATAGAAGCAACTTTTGATAATCAACGGTTATATATGAAATGTTACAATTAATAAAATAAAACAAAAAGACATAACCATAGAATGATAACTTTTATATAAATTAGCAGTTATATATGAAAATATACAATTAATTAAAAAAATAATTAGAAAGATACAATGGTTCACTGGTTTTTTCATAGAAGCAACATTTGATATTCAGTGGTTATATATGAAATGGTATAATTAATAAAATAAAACGAAAAGACACAACCGTAGAATGAGAACTTTTATATAAATTTACCGTTATATATAAAAATGTACAATAGAAATACATAATGGTTCAATAGTTCATTATATGAAATGGTACAATTAATAAAATAAAACAAAAAGACACAATCGTAGAACAATAACATTTATACAAATTAGCAGTTATACATGAAATGAAAAGGTACAATAAAAATACACAATGCTCTAATAGTTCATTCATAATTTTTCATTTTGTTATAATTAATAGATTATTTTAGTCTTATCAAGGAAGCTTTCTCGGTGTCATCAAAGCACTTTACAACAATTTCCTCCATAATTAACATAAAATCGAAGTGGATAGAGAAACCGAATAAAGCAATTTCTAGTCGACCTAAGAAACACAAAATATCTGTAGCCAAACAAATTCTCGGACTAAACAAATTCTCCTCCGAAATCGAAAATGAAGAAGAATTCCAAAACCATACCGAACAACCCACACAATTCAACAGTTGAATCAATCAATGGTGAAGGTTAGAGAGAGAAAAACGAACATGATGCGAGGAATCATGACGAGGAGAGGCAAAGGTGTGTCGACGATAAACGAAGAAATATGGAATCTGGGAGGAAGCTTTGTTGTTGCCGCTAGCTTCATCTTCGTCATTGTGGCCGCTAGCTTTACCTTCGTCGTTGTTACCGCTGGCTTTAAACTTCAGCAGTCGACCTAAGAAACACAAAATCTCCGTAGATAAACACATTCTCCTCCGAAATTCAAAAATAAAGGAAAAAATTAAAATATACGGAACGAGCCACAAATTCAACATCGATGGTGAAGATTAGAGAGAGAAAATGAACATGATGCGAGGAATCATGACGGGAGAGGCAAAGATGTGTCGACGATAAACGAAGAATTAATGTGGAATCTGGGAGGAACCTTCGTTGTTGCCGCTCGTTTCATCTTTGGATTCAATTTTTCTGAACGTTAAACGTTGAAATTGGAATGAACAATGCTTCAATGGTTCATTCAGAGTTTTTTATTTTATTATTATTAATAGATTATTTTAGTGTTATCAAGGAAGATTTCTCGGTGTCATCAAAGCACTTTACAACAATTTCCTCCATAATTAACATAAAATTGAAGTAGACAGAGAAACCGAATAAAGCAATTTCTAGATCGACCTAAGAAATACAAAGGGTTTGAATGGACGAACAGTTCATTGATGGTTCGAAGACGGAGCGGATGTCCTGTTAATAATCTTTCAATCACAATTAGTTGTGTAAGTTATTAACCTTTGGTAAAATAATGATAAAAAATAATTATACACTCTACAGTTAAAGCAAATCAAATTGTGTGGTGAAAAATTGTGTCTTCCTAATACAGTAGAAAACGCTGCTTATTTGGAGAGGTTGTACCGTATTTCTACTTTTTAGTATATTTTAATACTATTTTTCAAATAAAGAGAATAGTTTAATTTAAGATAGTTAAATCTATTTAGTTTTATATATGATGCATATACATAATCTAACATTATTTAAAGATAATACATATTATTAAGAAAATAAAACTTAAAATAAATTAAACTTTTTATAAAATTCATATGCACAATTTAACATACAAAGATAATTATTGCTATATTTTGATTTGAATTGTGTTTTTTGATTGATCATTTACGAGTTTAAATTTTTTGAAAAATAAGTTTAATTATATTACATGTATTATAATTAAAAAGATACAAAATAAAATAATTTATATTATATTTATCATGTATCAAATCTTATAAATATTTATTTTTTTTAATAAATATTTTAACTGAAATTTATGTAGATAATATAATGATATTTTTATTCCAATATCTCCCAAAAACTATTTATTATCCACAATTCCCATTCAAACATATATTTTGGACCGCCTGATTCATTTGATCCGCATTTGTACCGCCAAATCTACTTGAACCGCACTTGATCCGCTTGATCCGTCTGAACTGCTTGATATGCACCGCCTGATCCGCTTTCTCCATTCGGAACCAAAATATCCATAACCAAACAAATTTTTGGGCTAAACAAATTCTTCTCCGAAAACAAAAAATGAAGAAGAATTCCAAAACTATACCGAACGAGCCACACAATTTAACAGTAGAATCAATCGATAGTGAATATTAAAGAGATAAATACGAACATGATGCGAGGAATCATGACGGGGGAGAGGCAAAGATGTGTCGACGATAAACGAAGAAATATGGAATATGGGAGGAAGCTTCGTTGTTGCCGCTAGCTTCATCTTCGTCATTGTTGCTGCTAGCTTTATCTTCGTCGTTGTTACCGCTGGCTTGAAACTTCAGTAGTCGATTTAAGAAACACAAAATCTCCGTAGATAAACATATTTTCCTCCGAAATTCAAATAAAGAAATTTTTTTTTGAAATATTCGAAACGAGCCACAAATTCAACATCGATGGTGAAGATTAGAGAGAGAGAAAACGAACATGATGCAAGGAATCATAACGGGAGAGGCAAAAATGTGTCGACGATAAACGAAGAATGTGGAATCTGGGAGAAACCTTCGTTGTTGCCGCTCGCTTCATCTATATATTCAATTATTCTGGACGTTGAAATTGATCTTCTCCTCTCTACAATACGATTCTCTTTTTCTGAACTCAATTTCTGATTCTGTTTTTCCTAATTTTTTTTTTTTTTGTGACGGCGTTTTCCTCTAATTCTCTGGGTCTTTTGGCTTAAGCCCTACGCCATTATAATTTGACATCAGTCACATGCCCTATATATTTGGAATTGTGATGTCTAAATTTGTAAACAGAATTAAGTATTAATTTTTTTTGAACCTAGGTACAATTGGTCGACTTTTATTACGAGAAATTATCTATGGTTGCAGTCCCAACATTATATATTTTACCAACAAGTCTATTGTTGCAAACTATGAGTTAGCTGAAGAAATAAAAAATTACGCATGAGTCACCTTGTCATCTCAGAAAGCTTCTTGAATTCAACGCGTTGCTACTATGTAACTGTTACAATAATTCTTCCCTAAACATTACAATATACATCCCACATTCACTCATTAACTCATCTTCTGTTGCTAAATCTATATGGATCACTATCACCCCTCTCCTTCAAACTCGAATCATACGAAGAGTAATAATACCTTCTCTCTGACTCCGATTTTTCAAAGCCAGGGCTTCTTGGTCTAATGCCATACCTTGGAGGATAACTTGACGACAGTTCAACACCTGGAGGACCCATTTCGCCTCTATAATCTCGTGGTTGATGGTGATCATGATAGTAAGCATGTCCTGAGTTTTTCCTCTGTTCCCATAGCCACACATCTGCGTTTTCCGGGATGGGTGCGTTAATCCCCGGAAACTCGACTGTCTTTTTCATTTGCGGCTCTTGAGGGCTTTCTGTTTCCAAGATTTCACCATCCTCAGTCTTTACTTCTTCTTCTTGTGCTTTAGTCTCTTCCTCTCCAAATATTGTGATCCCCGAGAGAAGATCGTCTTCCACAGCTACAGATACAAAAAAAAAAAAAAAAGAAAGAAAGCAAAGACAACTAAAGATGCATTTGATTGTATGATGGTGATGTTGGTAATATGATGATGAAGAATGATAACATGAGAAAGTAGGAAAGCTTACCTAAATATCCCGGTGGATACCCAATCTCTCGCATTCTGTGAAGCCAAGGAGGAGGATCGAGTTCCTGGAGAAGACACTTTAACTTTAATCAGAAAGCTCATTTTCTATTTTAATGAAATTTTCCCCAGTACAAGAGAAGGAAGCTGAAAACTACCCCTAGACCAAGAAGCTGACGTGTCTCTGCATCAAGTGAGCCTGGCTTCAAGCCATCATATATTCCACCTTGATGGCTCTGATAGTATCTAGACGGTAAACGAGAACCAGGAGTCTGATTTCTCTTGCTTTTATGTTGTCTCCGTGCAATACTAACAGCTGCTCGATCAAAAGGCTTTGGACATTCTCTTATAGAATGACTGTAACCGCCACAATTGAAGCAACGTGGAGGATCATCAATAATCTCCAAGCCTCTGGGACAATAAGGAAAAACAAAACTTCAAAAGAACGCACAAGAGAGAAACTAAAATTTCATTAACACATTCAGTGTCACAAGGTAAAACGAAAACATATTAACTACAAATCTAGATTAGTTTACCCTTCTGAGTTACTCAAACCATTGGCTGAATCTAAACCAATTGGAAATCCACGGTTATAAAGAGGAGTAGTGCTACTTTCCACTGGAATAAACTCCTTTAAGGAATTGCGACCAGTTTGGTAGTCGAACCAAAATGACTGCACATGCAACAATAATGTATCTATCAGTAAGGATTACGAAAAACCTGAAAATTTCAAGCTTCCATATGCTTGACAACATTTTCACTCACCACAGATGATGTCTTCTGCAATCCCACACGCAAAGCAGGAAAATATGTTTTATCACCAGATTCTACTACTTGTTCTTGATCCTGATAAGATTCCCAAAGAGAATATTCTAGATTATGTATTTATGTTGTACCATGAAAGTATATTTTGTTATTTGAATAATAGAAGACAGCATACAAATATACATATCATTTCTTACACGCATCCTAAGTTTCATTTACAATATTCATTCAATCAAAAGTTGAGATTGATTCACTTTTGCAAAACGTTAGAATTCACGGTATTGGCTACAAATAAGCACTTCAGAAGACCTTAAATCGTAGCTACCTGGGACAAAGAATTTTGTTCTGCCTCCCATTCTGACCATTGCTGTAATAAACTTTCCAGCTTCTGCTTACTAGCTCTGTAAGATACAGGAAAAAAAATTAAAACAAGTAGAACACCAACAATCATTTTAAGACAGTAATGCTTGAGCATAAAAATGTTAAAAGTTACTTGTGGTCAAGTTAAGAGTCTACTTTTCTATTAACCTTGTTAAGTGTTTATAAGTAACATGAACTGAAGGTTGTTGTTCGTCAGAGGTTGTTCTGGCTCTTTTAACACCAGTTTTAGCTGATACATGAAATTATGGAAAAGAAACGAAAGAAAACGTAATCACATGCATTCAAATCTCAGCGTAAATGATAATAGAAACATGTTCAATTTCCACGTCAATCCTAAAGTGGTTTTGAATGAACTATACTCGGGGGACTATCAAGAGAGCAAAAGGTAGGATTTTAAGAAAGGCAAGCATTAGCAATCTTCAACATAAAAGGAAAAGAAAAGGATACAACTAACATCCACTTTCACGGTGTCAACACTCACATTGACAGCATCCACTATTGATGTTTCACCTAGAAACTGGCCAGACACATTTCCGAAATCATCTTCTGTTAGATCCATGTCTTCCTCCATGTCTATATCCCTTTCCCCATTCACATCTGATAGATTTAAGAATCACAAACAGAAATAAATCCAAACGCTCTTCTTTATTGAAAAAGAAAAAAACAATAAAACAACAATAAAAACACGGATAAAACCTTCGAAATCTCTCTCTCTAACTTGGATGAGTCTCACAAACGAGACCTCCTCCTTATACTTATTCTAAAACGTAAAAGCAAAGCACTTGGAAATAAGGATATAGAAATGAGAAACCATAACTAATTTCCTGAATCAGTAAACAGAAAGAAGACAAATCAACATCAGTAGCAGCTAAAGAATGGACCTTTTACCAGAATTGATGTCATTTTTCTGACCTTCCAAACCAGAGCCGCTTGAAGCTGCCATTTTTTAAATACCCTGCATAACAAAAGCAAAAAACCATAGCAATGAGCAATCCAAAAACTAAGCAATATATAATTTCAATTTCAAGGACTCAAATTCAGAATCCACATACACAGATAATGTAATTGCTAAGATTCATCAAGAACCCAATTCTCAGTCAAAACAAGATCTAACTTCTTCCGCAATAAATCAATCCCAGCTCATGGTTTTCCAACGAAACCCAATTGAACTCATGGGAAAAAAAGAATAAACTTTAAGCAGCAAGAATCAAAATTGTTTAATTTTATGCTTCACGCAAATTTGTTTAAACTTCAAACATTAGGGCTGAAGAGTTTACAAGAAAAGTGACTAGCGCAAACCAAGAATCTCCATAATAACCTCAATTCGAAACGTATAGCATAGACTAAACGGGCAAAACCCAGTTTCAAACATTGAAGTGAATATGAAACTACACGAAGCTCACGAAAGAGACGAAATCTTTTGCTATTAAATAGCTGAAGTAGAAATTAGAGGGGAGGCAAACAGATAGAAGAAGAAGAATAATTAAAAAAAAGGCTTTACCTTTATCAACGGGAAACAAAATTGTGTCAGACACCAGACTGACGAGAGTGATGAAGAAGAAGAAGAATGGCGATGAGAGATAGATCTGTGGGGATTCAAAAGAGAAGCTTTTATTGGTCCGCCCAAGAAACCTGTACAAATCAATGCGACCAAGAGCACTGTGAATGATTTGTTAAGAGAAAGCCCATGTGGCCCAAAAATGAGGGCCCGTATATCGGAGGTCCGTTGAAGTTCAAAATTGTTACATTTGTGGTTGTGACAGACTAATCACTCTAGCCTTTCAAGTTTCAATCTTGATAATTAACACCTGAACATTTCTTGAGTCTAAAACTCTTCTCCCTTTGGTTTAGCTTCAAAAGATCTCATCTTAGATTTCTCTGTTTTGGATTTGAGGAGTTTGACAAGAGTTTCTATAATATCAAGTAGATAAGATGTTAGAAAATGAAACACATAAACCAAAAACAATTCGCTTCTGTACTCGTAAGATCTTGATGGGAATCACACACTTATAAAGTAACTTCACTTCTCTTATTTGAAGTAGCAGAAGATACCAAAAGTGAAGTACATAATAAAGGAAAAACTCGGATTGATTGGCGCCAACCACTCTTTGGCCCTATTGTAGTGTCAATGTTGTCTTTGGCACTAATAGAAAACTCATGAACACATAACTCACTAAGTGGCTTAATCATTAAGGAAACAGACATCCCTCTTAAGTGTATGAACTAGCCACTACTGTAAACTGTAAACTGTAAACACAGGGATGGTTACAATATCCAGGAAATATGAACTATTGAACACCATCACAAAAAAAAGTAAATAAAAAAATAATAGAAAACATAATATAGTCCATGCAATAGCTAAGGACAGTAAGAGCCCCATGATCCGTTAAAAATCTCTTGAGTAATATAGTCCTAAAAAAACTATTAGATCAAATAGTGATTGAGTATCTTGACCAATACTTAAGTCGTGAGTCGTAAGTTATATTTTCATGAAGAGAAAGACTTACTCATCATGAACAAGACTTTTAGATGGCTAAATTACTTAAGTGTAGTTGAACGGGAAAAAAAAAAAAAAACATTCCCTCTAAGTTTATGAAATCGGTATCTAGGAAAGATGAACACCATCACACAGAAAAAAAAAAAAAAAAGAACGGAAAATAGCCATCCAACAACGTAACGACAGTAAGATCCCATCATATCTTGAAAATCTCGAGTTACACAATCCTAAACATTCTGCAAAAGCTTCACGTCTTCTACATGGTCTAGAGAGATGTGAACGTTATAATACCTAAACGCATCCATTCCTTGGATTTCGACTCTTCTTATTGTATTCCTCTCGATGTTGTAGTAGAAAACATAGAAAGGGTTGGATAGATTGCGTGGAGACAACACAATTTCATTTGTACTAGTCACTCCAACGATCAATATGTTGGCCTCTGCAACTACATTCTTCCAAGAAGAGGGCAATACGTATTTATGTTTCGACCATTCATGTTTCTCAGCATCTATTAGAACCCACAAATAAAAACTAAACATGTCTTGCAAAAGAACACCTAATTTCCCCTTGTAGTTAACGAGAATTAATGAAACACTCCATTTTAACATGTTGTCATCATCGCCCCATAGTAATAGAATTTCCTCAGGTATGTTAACTCCTCTAAACTTCTCGGACCTAACATCAAAGCAGATTAACGCATACCCATTTGGAGGCCCAATGACCATAACTGGATAATATAAAACACCATTGATGCATATTCCATCATTTTCACAAGGATACTGATACGATATGCAACATTCGATCGTTCTCCATGAAAGTTTTTGGGTCCCTAATGTGAGAACTTGATGCTTCCTTATTCTATAAAGGCGTCCAAATTATGGACAATATCTTGAACTCTTTAACAATCGGATCAATCCAATAAGACTGTTCACGCCAACACTCTTTGTGATCTTCACTTTGGGTAAAGGTAAGGATTGTCCCGTGCTAGGGTTACATATCACCGTCACCGTTTCCTTTCCTTCCGTACTGAAAATTCGTAAGACACATCAAACCGTTCACAGGACCACGAATTTTAGAGGAAAAATCAATGGGAAACTTCATAAGATGATTGGCCGCTACAAGACACGAGTTCTCATCCAGATTTCCCACTTGAGGTGACGAGAAGAAGACCACCTCACGGCTTTTTCGTAAGGAGAACAAGAGCTGCGGTCGAGCACAAGACATGGTCATGAACATATCCGTGAAATAGGGACTGACAAATGTGGAAGCCCATATTAGAGTAGTTGGTTTAATGTTGGTTAGGCTGGTTTAATATATTTCGGAATTGGTTAAGTTTCCTTTCGCTTAATCAATGTTTGTATATAAAACATTACTGTACATTCTGTTTCATTAATGAGAAAGATAACTTTCCCTTAATAGCCCATAGCTTCGATACACAACGACATCTCGCTATAGGCTTGGCCGGCAATTTGGACAGTATTTTGATGATGAGATCAATTGGGATCGTCTCTAAGTTTTCCATTGAGGTTGGAGATCGTGTTTTACGTCAGGGAATGTTTAGACCATCCTCAGAGACTTGCTGTCGCCTTGTTTTCATGGCAGGATACACTGCTACAAACCCTAGATTCCGTACGGAGCTATTAGTAATTGACTGGTTTCAAAACACTTTGTTTTGTGGCCACGACTTATATAGACTTATCCGTGTTCTTAATATTCTTATTAATGTAACCGACATCTGAAAAAAGAAATAAAAAAGTGATCGGTTGATTATTTCGATAGAGGCTATCCGGATCCGACTTGGCCCATATCCGTTCTGAATTTTTTAAATGTGTTTAAGAGTCTGGTTTTCTACTAAACCATGTTAAGTGTTTAATAAGTAACAGGTACTGATTACTGAAGGTTTCTGTTCCTCAGAGGTTGTTCTGGCTCTTATTACTGAAATCAAGAACCTACAATAACATTATTTATCTCTGAGTTATGACTTGGACTTTTCAAACAATTTACTAAAATCTAAAGTTTTTATGTCATACTAGAATATGAATGCCCGAGTTTTTTCATACAAACTAACTTAGAATATACAACTAAAACTTTGATTACAATGACTTTCTATTTGTTTTTGTCAAAAAATCCATGTCTTTTATACGATGTATGATATCTTAAAGAAAACCGTTTCTCTAACTTTCACGTTTCACCAACAAAATATGAAGTTAGACATGCAAGTTGTACTCTATATATCTGCTTAAAATATGGTATAAATTTGAGGACATTTATAACCCCATCAATAAAGATATTGCGCATAACGATCAACGTCTTAACTCTAAAGTCATTTCAAGTAGTAAGTTTAGTTAATATTCAAAATTTGTATCCACATAATAGTGTCCCATTAACTTCTTTAGTTTATCTTCAAATTTTTGTTTTTGGGTCATAAAATCAGTTTATACTCAATTGTTTCTACACGAAAATATATCGTTTTGAAAACTAGAAATCCTAAAGGCTTTTGTGAAAAGGAACACAAGATTTGGTAGCGAGCTTGTGATATTTTCGTTTATTTTAGTTCTTGAACGCTCCAATTATTAGATTCTTTTCATTAGTTCTCTCGTTCTGGTTACAATAAAGTGAAACAGCACCAGAACGAGAGAACTAATGAAAAGAATCTAATAATTCACAAAGCTGAAAGTGCAACTTGAATAAGTTTATGGATCAATCAAACTCAGAGTCAAGGAGATGCACGCATCTATCTAAAACAAAAGAAGCTTCATGGGGGCGTTTGCTGCCGCCATGTTTGTCCTCAGAACATTGTTTCAAAAGAACATTGTTTACATGGTTAAAGTTGGTGGCTCTGCCCTTGGACTGACTAGGTTCTCCATTGCTTCTTTGTTTAAGCTTGTTGGAGGTTGCAGGTGTTCTAGTTTTAGATATCTGCCATGTCTTGATACCTTATGGTATTGTTGTTTTATTTTTGCTCTTGTACTTGGGTTACAGCCCTCTATGTTTCCTTGAATAGTTTAAGCGTTAAAAAAAAAAATAATAAGGCCAGTGAATTGTTTGGTGATGATAATAGGAGGAAACAAATATTCAACACATCCCAAAAAATAACAAGAAATTGGGAAATAGGAGACTAATCAATCTTTTTATTATTAAATTAAACAAAACGATAATGAATGGGTAAAAGGGAAGGCCAAGTTGACTCAGTCAAAGTAATGTGGATTTGGTCTTCTTACGTGCATTACACGGCAAACACGATCCTCTTGATCTCCATCAATATTTTCATCGCTTTAATATTGATGAAAAATCCAGAAAGCTATTCTAGAAGCCCTGTGACACACTGTGAATCACAATAATTTGACTGACCGGAGTTTTGTCGAAAGAAATAATTTGAGATATGTTTGGTCGGAAGATCATATCAAATAATGATTGAGAAAATAGATCTTGAATAAGAATTAAGTTGTGCGTTGTACGTTTATATTTTCATCAAGAGAAGAAGACTTTAAAAGTTAAAAATTATCTTAGATTTCCCTCTAAGTATATGAATTTATCAGTATCTAGGGAAGATCTAGATAAACACCATCACACAAAGAAACAAATAATAAAAATATAATCATAAAAAGCAGAAAACAGTGATCCAATAGCTTAAGTAGATGTAAGATCCCATGATCTCTTAGAAGTCTCGAGTTATACAGTCCTATAAAAGCTTCACTTCCTCTACATGGTCTAGAGAGATGTGAACTCCACAATTCTTAAATGCATCCATTCCGTGGATTTCAACTCTTCTTATAGTATTCCTCTCGTTGTTGTAGTAGAAAACATAGAAAGGGTTGGATAGATAGCGTGGAGACAACACAATTTCATTTGCACTAGTCACTCCAACGATGAATATTTTGGCCTCTGCAACTACATTCTTCCACGAAGAGGGCAATACGTATTTATGTTTCGACCATTCATGTTTCTCAGCATCTACCAGAACCCAGAACTCAAGAGATCTACTTTCTCTAGTAAGTCCTTCAAACCCACCATTCGACAAAACACCTAATTTACCCATGTAATTTACAAGAGTTGACACCATCCGTAGTATCATGTCCTCAGCTCTGTTAATAACACTAAAATTCTCAGACCTAACATCAAAGCAGACTATAGCACACACTTTTGGTGGCCCACCGAGCTGAGATACATAATACAAAACACCATTAGTGCATATCCCATCTTTTGAAGGATAATAATGATGTGATATGGAACATTCAATCATTCTCCATGACAGGTTTCCAGTTCCCACTGTCAAAACTTGATGTTTCAGATAAGAATTATCTTCTCTATAAATCACTTTGGTCGTGGACAGAACCTTGAACTGTTTATCAATAGGATCAAACCCAAGAAGACTGTTTACAGTTACCACTTTGGGTAAAAGTAAGGATTGTCCCGTGCTAGGGTTACATATCACCGTCACCCTTTCGTTCGTTAAGATATTAAGATGCGTAACACAGACCAAACCGTGGATAGGACGAGAAATATCAGAGAAATCATCAATGGGGAACTTCATATAAAGATTGGCTGTTACAAGAGACGAGTTCTCATCTTGATCTCGGATCTGAGGTGACGAGAAGAAGACCAACTCACAATGATTTCGGAAGGAGAACAAGAGTTTTGGTCGAGCACAAGACCTGGTCATGAAGAGCTCTGTGAAATATGGACTGGCAAGTGTGGAAGCCCATAGCTTCGATACACATCGACATCTCGCTATAGATTTGACCGGCAATCTCCAGAGTATTTCGATGATGAGATCAATTAAGATCGTCTCCGAGTTATCTGTTGAGATCGGAGATCGTGGTTTCATGGCTCTTAAGTCTAAACCTTTTTTGGTTCGTCCCCACGACTTAAGTCTGATTAATGTAGGAGAGCCGAAATTTGGAAAGAAAAGAAAAAAAAATGATTTGTGGTTTATTTCCTGTCCACATTGTTATTCTTTTATTCATGCCCTTAGGAAAAGATAAAAACTAAAAAGTCGATTAGAAAAGTTACAGATGTACATATAAGTATTTTCGTTGGTCAGAATCTTAACTAAAAATATTTATTATAATTTTAAAATTTCATTTTCTCATTTCCTGTCCATATTGTTATCCATTCATGCCCTCAGAAAAAAAAAAGTCGATTAGAAAAGTTACTATGTATAAAAAATTTCATGGGTCGGAATCTTAATTATAATTTTAATCTTAATAATTTCGGCTATTGGATGTTGTTCCTCTCTATATAAATATATAATCTTTTCTTTCTAGGGGTCTTTAATCTTTCAAGGTTTATTATCTTTAAAGGCTTTGTTTACTTCCATGTTTCGACCTCTGTCGGTTTTGTGCATAAATTGTTTTCTTTGATAATTTCTCTTTGATTAGTAAATTGGAGAATGAATGTTTTTTTGGGATGAATGTTAATTTTTTTCGAACCCGAAAAAAATTAACGTTTTTACATAAGAATATGCGAACTTTTAAATGTTAAAAACAGATTTTGGTTGCAGTTTTGAAACAGATTCCTCACAGGTTTAGTGCTCCTCTTAGGTCACCGGTTTAGAAGCAAATCAGATCATTTGCATTCCTTCCTCGTATGTAATATCTCCTTGTAGAGGTTTATGGCACAAATACATATGAATTTGGATTAAAAAATAAATAAAAAATGGCTCAAAAGTTAACAACCTATTGTTAGCTAACATACCCAAGTGTAGAGTTGTTAGGCGACGTGGTCACTTCTGATTGGCCAGATTTTATTTTATTTTAATTTTATTTTATTTAAATCAAAACTCTAATTTAAAAAAAAAAAACATTCTTAAAATATTCTTAACAACCCAAAATGAGGAGTTTACTGCTGGAGATGCTCTAATATCTCCTTGTAGCCGAATTGAACTGAATCGATTTTTATCCCTTTGTTTATGAACTTCACCACCATCTGCACTGTTGAGAAGCTTGAACCATGCCTACGATCATTCCTCTCCCTCCATAAGACATGAATAGTCAACTGGAAAAGATATCTAATGATGAAACTTTTTAGTCTGGTTTGTTGACATCGGGAAATCTGGTGGACCACAGCATTCCAGTCAGTGGAGTAATCCCGGAGCATGATCTCTTTTGCAACATTTCTCCACACCTGTTGCGAGAAAAGGCACAAGAAGAACAGGTGGCCATGTGTTTCTAGCTGAGCTTGGCAGAGAATATAAGTAGTTGGTTTGTTCGGACTTTGATAATGTAGAAACTATTTTTTTTTTGGGTTCGAATAAATTTAGCATTCATTCTAAAAAAAAATTGAGCAACTCTGTAAAAGCCGTAGTAAATTCTATTTTTCACTTTAATTATGTTATTTTACGGTCTGGTGTTTTCAATTTGTTTCGTAATAAAGCTTCTCTTAATTTTTTTTAAACTGAGGGGATCCTTGAGCAGAAAAAAAAAAATAAAGAGAGGTAAATAACACTCTTTTAAAAAATTAACACTCTGTTCGTATTTCTTCTCATGTTTCTTACGCATAAGTTTGAGCAAGTAATAGTATAAACTCTCTTCGTCTTTCTTTCTTAGTTCATGCATAGGTTCAGGAGGTCAATCAATTACCAAGAACAAATAAAGGGTTGATATATATATATATATATATATACTGTATGTATATCTTTTACGTCTGGTTGCTTACACTACAAAAAACACATTCAAACTCAAAGCACAAAAACTCAAACCATGCTTAAATAGAACAGAATTTCAAACACAAATCAAAAACATAAGAAATTAGCAAAACACACTCAAACGCAACCAAACTAAAACAAATAACCAAACTCCACATCCAAAACAAAAGTTTCGCTACCAAAAAAATATAAGAGCCAAAGATATAAAACTTGGTATTCATTTGCAGGGTGAGATTCTTTTTTTTTTTCGTAACTGATGTAGATTCTTTCTTTAGTACATTATATACCTTGATTTTGCAATGTGTAGATTCATTCTTTTTTGAACTGAAGTGTGTAGATTCTTTCTTAGTACATTATAAATATATACCTTGATTTTCTTGTAAGTGTTTGTATTTTAGTTTCTAGCTACAAGACTTTTGTTACGATTTTCAATTTACGACTCTCATTAGTTTAGTCCATTAACTTCACAATTAAAATTTTTTCTCATTTCTCTTCTAGTATCAAATTCTTTCTTTAGTCCCTTTTACAGCTATATATCATTTTTATTAGTCAAAGCTGATAGTATTGGAGAATATATTCATGAGACAGGGACTAAAAATGAAAAGAAAAATTAGTGGGTTGCTGTAGAATTAGAGAATATGCTTTCTTATCATTCAAGAATGTACATTACAGGATATATATATACGTTCTATGACGGTGTATGATATTAAACCTAGCCCATCACAATACAAGCCCAAGATATAGCCCAATACTCCCCCTCAAGTTGGAGCATGAAGATTGGTAATGTTCAACTTGGACACTAAGTGAGAAAACTGGTGTCGACCAAGTGCCTTTGTTAGTAAGTCTGCGAGTTGATCCTCTGTTCGAACATGAATTGTGGAGATCGTTCCATCAAGAACGGCATCGCAAACAGCATGACAATCACTCTCAATGTGTTTAGTCCGCTCGTGAAAAATTGGATTGGCAGAAAGACTAATCGCCAATTAATTGTCACAAAACAAGCGAACAGGTCCATGATGCGGGAAACCAAGGTCTGTCAAGAGCTGTCGCAGCCACAATATCTCATCAAGAGCATTACGCATGGACCAATATTCGGCTTCTGTGGAAGAACGCGAAACAATGCTCTGCTTTTTAGTTTTCCACGATATCGGAGAACCTCCAAGAAACATAATATAAGAGCTCAAAGACCTTCGTGTAGTTGGACAAGCATTCCAATCGTAGTCGCAGTAAGCGGTGAGGCTGAGATCAGAGTCAGAGCAGAACAAAATACCTTGACCAACAGAGGACTTGAGATACTGAACCACACGCAAGGCCGCTTCCCAGTGTCCCTCGCGAGGTGCTTGCATAAATTGCGAGAGAATGTGAACAGAGTACGACAGCTCTGGTCGTGTGATCAGCAGATAAATGAGGCGACCAACCAGGCGTTGATTAGGGTGAGGATCAGCGAGAAGCGGGCTAGCATACAACGCTAACTTGTGGTTCTGTTCCATCGGAAACAACGTCGGTTTGGCCCTAAGAAGTCCACATTCAGCGATAATCTCAAGCGTGTACTTGCGCTGTGATAGAAAAATCCCCTCGTCATTCCTAGCCACCTTAAGACCAAGAAAATACTTCATTTTACCCAGATCTTTCATCCTAAAACAGTTGCCCAAATGTTCTTTAGTTTCCCCAAAGCCACGGAATTATTACCACAAACAAGCAAATCATCAACATACACCAATACCCGAAGCTCGATATCATCGCGAGTATAAGTGAAAAGGGAGTAATCGGCATAGGACTGAATAAAGCCAAACTCTTTTGAAACCGTTGTAAGTTTTGCAAACCAACAACGAGGAGCCTACTTGAGGCCGTAAAGAGATTTGTGTAGACGACACACCTTGTTAGGATCAGAATGTCGAAAACCCAAAGGAAGTCGCATATAAACCTCTTCGTCAAGATCGCCATGTAAAAATGTGTTATGCACATCCATCTGGTGCACTTCCCATTTCTCAGCAGCAACGATCTTGAGTAAACCGCGTATAGTCGTCATCTTGACAACTGGTGCGAAAGTCTCGTCAAAATCCACTCCTTCGACTTGATGATTACGAAGAACAACTAGTCGCGCCTTATAACGCTCGATGGAACCGTCAGCGTTATATTTGATTTTGAAAACCCACTGATTACCAAGAGCCTCTTTCCCTTCGGGCAAGTCAACAACACTCCACGTTTTTGTTAACTCACACGCATGAACCTCTTGTTCCATAGCATCGCACCCAACTTTATCTTTCAAAGCTTCTTTGAAGTTTTCGGTTCGACACCAGCAGTGATAGCGGCGAGAAAAGCCTGATGTCCTGAAGAGAATAAATCATCAGAGATGTAATGTGTAAGAGGATATGGTGTGTTACCTGGAACCGTGAACAAAGACTCTGAGTTGGGAGCGGTGAGGACCGGAAGTGTATTATCTAAGCAACCAGCATTATAAAGCATGCAATCAGCAAGCTTCTTAGGACGTACAATCTCGCGTTTGCCACGACCCAAAGCAGGAGCTGCAGGAGAAACAATTGACCCGTCTGCAGAAGTATTCTCATCCGGTAAGACATCTGCGACTGGAGAAGAAAAAATGTCGTTCGATAGTTCTAGTGAGACTTCGACAACCTCGGTAACCGCTTCCATCGAGGAAGAAGCATCAGTGTCAGAAGCGATAACATCTGTAACTAAAGGAGAACTAGTGTCGAGCTCCCCTGGCCAACAGCCTCGAGCTCCCCCTGACCAACAGCATCACTGCTCCCCTTGTCCTCCAACAGAGGTACAAAAAACCAATCATCAGCATAGGGAATAACCGGTAAAGAGGAAAGCTCTTTGTCCGGTGTGCTCTGCTTTTCCTGTGAAGATTGGAAGGGAAAGATATCTTCTTGGAAAATAACATCGCGGGAAACAAAAATTTATTCCGTCTCAAGATCAAAGAGACGCCAGCCCTTCTTGCCAAATGGATATCCAACAAACACGCAATGCCTGCTCCTTGGACCAAACTTGTATTTATCACGTGATCAAACGTGCGCATAACGAGACGTGTTCCGATTCCAACGTGTTCTTGTGCTGCTGGAGTGAATTTTTTCAAAGAAAGGGAGGAGAAAGTGTCGCAATTTGTCATGGGGCTTGATGCCTCACGGTTTGGAAATCTCATTAACTCCATCATCGACGCTGATCCGTCTCCTGATTTGGCACAAGCATACGCTAAAGCTGTTCGTGAAGAGCAACGGTTGAACTCAGTAAAAGATCATGAACATCAACAGAAGCCGTTGGTTTTGTTGCTCATCGTGAGACTTTTGATGGAGGTGGTGGAAGTGGTGATTCCACAGCTATGGTATTGGCTAAACGTAACCTTCTGTGTTCACACTGTGTAAAGTCGGGCCACGAGAAGGCATTCTGTTGGCAATTAAATGGTCACCCCGAGTGGTGAATCGAACGTAATGCACGCGGTCGAGGTCGTGGTGGTCGTGGAGGACAAGCAGATGTTGGACGTGGTCGTGGACAAGCAACGGCGGCTCATGCAACGACTTCCAATTCTTCTGTTTTTCCGGAGCTCACGGCTGAACAGTGGAAGGCAATCAGCTTGATGGCACAAGAGAAGACACGTGGTGGTAATCAAACAAAGTTGTCTGGTAAGAAATTCGGAGATGTTATTGTTGACACGGGAGCTTCCCATCATATGACGGGAAATTTTTCGTTGCTTACCAATATTATCGATATCCCACCTTGCACGATTGGATTTGCGGATGGAAGCAAGACACTTTCGTTAAGCATGGGAGTTTTGTCACTCACCAAAGACATCTCTCTTTTTAACGTCCTTTATGTGCCGAACCTGAATTGTTCTTTGGTCTCCGTATCGCAGTTGTTGAAACAAATGAAGAATTGTTTCACAATATTCACTGATACTTTATGTGTGTTTACAGGACCGGTTTACGAGGACCCTGATTGGAGCCGGTGAGGAACGAGACGGAGTGTATTATCTAACGGATGTTGCATCAGTTCGAGTTAACAAGGCAGTTGCGGGTTGTGATCAAGCCTTGTGGCATCGGAGATTAGGGCATCCGTCTTTTTCGGTGTTTTCTTCTTTACCTTTTGTTGGTGTTTTGAATTCTGTTAAACCTAGCCCATCACAATACAAGCCCAAGATATAGCCCAATAGTTGCTTTTTGTAACAATATCTTAGACGGAGGGATAAGCTATAATCAAAATATTTGAGGGATAGAAGCTTATGTTAACCTTCGTGTGGTAGATAACAACAATATCAAGGCTAAACTCATAGAGATCTCGAGTTCGAGTACGCATGAGGACAATTGGGCAAGTTCGTATCTTGGGCGTTGGTCCGAGTTTTTTTCAACATAATAGGGGACTGTAGGCTTGCTCATTCAATTTGTGATCCGGATCACCATGTTAATCAATAAAAAAAATTTGTGTACCTTGACAAAAAAAAAGTTTATATACGTTGAGATAAAAATAAAATAGAATCGAACCAACCATATCAAGTCTATTTGTGGATTAAGCCGTATAAAGTCTATCTGTGGAGCAATAACTTGGCTACATCCTTAAATTCAAAAAACAAAAATCACTTGAATGAGAGCCCAAAATCATGATTTGATGTAAAAAAAAGTTTTACGTAATGTGATAAAAATACAGTAGAATAAATTATAATCGATGAATTAATAACATCGATAAACTAATATACTTTTAGATTTTATATTAGGTTTTTGGTCCAATTAATTTTTTTATAAATTAATAATTCTCCAAATTAATAAAATATTATAATTCCATTGTTATTAATTTATAGAGTTTTACTGTATTAGGATTTAAGTTATAAGTAAGTTAGGGAAATTACTCAGACTCGAGATCTACTATATAAAAGTAAAAACCAAACAAGCTTTGGAAACACAAATCTGTGAACAACTATGAGATCGTCTTCTTTATGTCTTGCCGTGAAACAGATGAAAAAGAAGGAGGAGGAGATGAGCCTGACTGTGGCCTTACCAGATATCCCTGAGGAATTGTTGATCGAGATTCTGACAAGATTACCGGTTAAATCTCTGATGAGATACAAGTGCGTCTCAAAACTCTGGCTTTCCCTTATCACCTCTCGATACTTCACAGACCTTTTCCTTAAATCCTCATCACATGGACGACGTTTCTTCGCGTATTTAGTGGATCAAGAAACACGAATCAAGTATGCGTTGCTCGCATCATCGTCTGATCATGATCACTCGGACACAACCGTCTCTGTAATCGACCAAGACCTAGCCATGTCAAAAATAGAAGGCCGCTTTGTGAGCGTTGCTCGTGGCTTGGCGTGTTTCACAAGTCAGAAAAGTGTGCGAATTAGCAATCTCCATACTAGGCAGGTTGTGGAGTTGCCCGAGTTGATATCTGCAACCATAGTGAATAACAACATGTCGAACTATTTTGGACATGATCCTGTTAATGATGAGTACAAAGTGCTTAGCGTAGTTTGGGATTTCAGTAATGAAGAGGGAGTATTGAGATCCGAACATCAAGTGTTGGTACTTGGAGCAGGAGCTTCATGGAGAAAGATTCAATGCCACCATTCCTCATCGTCCTGGCTCGGGAGAGATAACAATTAACGGTGTATTGTACTATATAGCTTCTCTTGATGCAGACAGATGTGTGGTTATGTGTTTTGACTTATGTTCTGAGGAGTTCAATTTGATTGAATTGCCTAATGAGATTCCCTATTGGTGGTACTATTCTTTCAAAGGTTTCATAATCTACAAAGGAAAATTAGCTTTGTTTACTCACAGTAGTAATTTGAGTTATAGTATTTCTGAAGTTTGGGTTCTTGAAGATGCTAAGAAGAGTCAATGGTTTGAAAAGAAGACTTTTGTTTTGCCTGTTTCTCTGGCGAATCAAAGGATCTGTGTCACTAGTGGTAGTAATACGGTTTGGTTCAGAAAGGTAGATGTCAAGCCGAATCAAGCCACACGTTTTTTCATTTATGATCCGGAGAGGAATGATTCAACACAAAGCATAGAGATTAGGCCTTTTCGTGGTAGCTTTAAGAAGACCAATTGGTTGTTTTCAAGTTTTTGGTATGATATTGAAAACATAATGTATTTGGAAATTTAGAATTTCGGTTTATTCCAAAATAAGTGGATATACTAAGTTTGTCCCTCGGCACATTCTAATGATATCTGAAATAATTTTGTGATAATTGTTTTTTAATAAAACAATCGAATTGTAAAAGCTAATTGTGTTATAAACTATGGTCTAGTAATAGATAAAGATGAACAAGAATTTGTGTTCTAAATAAAGAAAGAGAGTGGAGAAAGAAAAGTTTTTCTTTTTTCACTTGTATGTTCTATCTTCTATTATACTTCATTACAATCATATAATTATTTATTTATAGACGAAGACAAAGTTAACACATGTGTAATGGTGATTATGTTATTTTGCTAATAAAAAAATTAGTGTACAACTAATAAGACAAGTGTGTCCAAAGAAATCTAAAAAGATGAAAAGTAATAATGTGATAAATAATCATATTTTTTCTTAACACTCTCTCTTGAGTATCAATCACTATTGATGTGTTGCATATTACCTCGTTAAAACTTTATCATAGAAACTATTGGGACAAATACCATGACAAAAAAAAATAATACAATCATGCAACTCCCTCTAGATATTATCTTCTTTTTACAGATCTTGTAGACGATGCATTCAAATGTTATGAACATGTTTTTTGAATATTGTAGTAGGAAGCGCTTTTGTAAAGGGATCTGGTGCATTGTCAATTGAACAAATGTATTGAATGTCCACTTTTTATTCTTCTCGAGCTCTCGAGTGTAGGAAACAATCTTAGAGAAATATATTTTGTCCTATCACTTTTGATGTAGCCTTCTTTAAGTTGAGCAACACATGCATCATTATATTCAAACAATTTTGTATGCTCCTTATTCACAACTATTCTGCTTGTTTCTTGTATGTGATAAGTTATAGATCTGAGTCATACACACTCTCTACATGCCTCATGAAGTGCAATAGTTTATGTTAATTTGAGAATGTGTCAACCAATGTCTGCTTTTGAAAACGCCAAGAGATTGCAGTGCCTCCAAATATGAAAACATATTCGGTTTACGATCGAGATTTATGTGGATCTGATAAAAACATGCATCTACAAACCAACTAAATCGAGTTTGTAATTTCTAGGATAAAACAATCTCAAGTTTGTTCTTTGAAGATAACAGAAAATATGTTTTATTCCATTCTAATGTCTACCTGTAAGGGATAAACGATATCTTGCAAATAGATTTGTAACAAATGATGTCCGGTTTGGTACAATTTGCAAGATACATAAGTCCACCAATAACGCTTATATAAGGTAATTCAGAACCTAATAGTTCTTTGTTATCTTCACAAGGTCGGATCTTTATCAACATCAAGTGATCTATTAACCATTGGATACTCAAATGAGTTGTTTTATCCATCTAAAAGCGTTTAAGATCCTTTTGGTATAACTTGATTGATGTATGGATACTCCATTTTAGAAATACTCTATTTGTAATCCAAGGCAAAAACTTTGTATTTTCGTATTTTCGAGATCTTTCATATGATTTCTCCTTTCTTCAGTATCCTTTTAAGTTTCAATCATGACAAGTCATCAACATAAACGGCAATGATCACAAATCCAAACAAATTTTTTTTTAATAAAAATGTGAACAAGAGCCTTTGCACATAAGATTGATTTGATCAAAATCATCAATCATACACCAATCCCTTCGATTTCCGTTCCCTTGACCATGATTTGATTCCCTGTCCCCATTTACCTTCACTTGGCGAATAGAAAAAGGTTCAATCTGTTGCATCCACAACGTTCAGACATTCATTTCAGTGTTAGCAGGGAGAAAGGAAACATGCCTTTATTGTCACTTCCCTTGTACCGGACACAAAAATTGGCAAAAAATGGTATAAGAGCAAATTTAACCGGACAGGTCGCATAACCATTGGTTTCTTGAAACAATCTCTCGGAGACACTAAAAATGATAAAGGCAGATCACGAAAGCCTACTTCTTTCCTATGAGCAACAACTGCGTTGTGCTTCAAAGCACTGAATGCTCCTTCACATATTGAAACCACCACATTACAATACTTATCTAAAGAGACGCCTGATGATTTCACTGCTTCAGACATATACGTTTTGAGCTTGCTATCACAGTTAGTTATAACATGTTCTGCCAACTTTCGTGGTACTCGGGGGAATCTGCTGCCAAGCTGAAATTAAAGAGTTAAACAAAATAGAATTAGTTTCCGAAATTGAGATATTTCAGAATATGCACTTTCTTATCATCCTTTTTTAACGTAGTGTAGAATTGGTGAAAGAATCTCTGGAGGTTTATATCATCATCGCTTTCTTCTAAAATAAGGGTCATAATTTTTTCCATACATAAAAATACTTTCACTATACAGTATGACATGTATTAATGGATTATGTACAAATAAACATAAGCACCACTCAATAGAACAGCTGTGAAAACTATATAACAAAGCACATCATAAAATCCATGGAGAGGCAGGCATGCGAGTGGAAGAAAACAATATTAAATGATATCAATCACATTGAAAATGACTGCTTCTGACATTCATGTTCACCATGTAGTTTATAAAATGCACAACATCCGTGAATTGAGCATGGCAGAGGAAACCTGAAGGAAAAATACGATTCAGGATTGATGAGGAAGATGTAAGATCCGGAGCAGTTATTTAGGATATAAGTAAGTTAGGGAATTTACTCAGACTATACTGTATTAGAATTTAGGATATAAGTAAGTTATAGAAATTACTCAGACTATATTATATACACATATGCTGGCTAGATTTTCCTTTTTCTTTTATTCAAACTTTCTATATTTCTTATTCACTTTAAACTGATTAGGATAAGTGAAAAAAAAAAGAGGAAATAGGGCTTAAATATCATGAGAATTACATTTTTGTTTTAGCGAGTTTTACTTTTATGTCTTATAAATACATGGACCAAGTAGGTTTGTAAAAGTAAAACCAAACAAGCTTTGGAAACACAAATCTGTGAACAACTATGAGATCGTCTTCTTTATGTCTTGCCGTGAAAAAGATGAAAAAGAAGGAGAAGGAGATGATCCTGACCGTGGCCTTACCAGAGATATCTGAGGAACTGTTGATCGAGATTCTGACAAGACTGCCGGTGAAATCTCTGATGACATTCAAGTGCGTCTCAAAGCTCTGGCTTTCCCTTATTGCCTCTCGATACTTCACAGACCTTTTCCTTAAATCATCATCACGTCGAAGACGTTTCTTCGCGTATTTAGTGGATCGAGAAACACGGATCAAGTATGCGTTGCTCGCATCATCGACTGATCTTGATCACTCGGACACAACCGTCTCTGTAATCGACCAAGACCTAGCCATGTCCAAAACGGAAGGCTGCTTTGTGAGCGCTGCTCATGGCTTGGCGTGTTTCAGAATTGGGGAAAGTGTGCGAATTTGTAATCTCCACACTAGGCAGGTTTTGGAGTTGCCCGTGATGTTATTTGAAACCAAAGTGAATTACAACATGTGGAACTATTTTGGACACGATCCTGTTAATGATGAGTACAAAGTGCTTAGCGTAGTTTGGGATCTCACTAAGGAAAAGAGAGTAGTGAGATCAGAACATCAAGTGTTGGTACTTGGAGCTGGAGCTTCATGGAGAAAGATTCAATGCCACATTCCTCACTGTCCTGGCTCGGGAGGAATAACAATTAACGGTGTATTGTATTATGGAGCTACTCTTGATGCAGACAGATGCGTGGTTATGAGTTTTGACTTGAGTTCTGAGGAGTTCAATTTGATTGAAATGCCTAATGAGGTTCGCTTCTGTTGGGGCTGGTGTTGGAACAGTTTCATAAACTACAAAGGAAAATTAGCTTTGTTAAACTATTGTTATTCTTGTAGTTCGAATATAGGTTTTTTTGAAATTTGGGTTCTTGAAGATGCTAAGAAGAGTCGATGGTTAGACAAAGAGACTTTTGTTTTCCCTGTTGCTGAGAATTTCATCATTACAAATCAACAAAGGATGGGTGGCACTAGTGGTACGGTTTGGCTCGCAAAGAGAAATGTCAATCCTGGTCAAGCCACACGTTTCTTCATTTGTGATCTGGAGAGGAATGATTCAACACAAAGCATTAAGATCAGACCATTACGTGGTAGCTTTATGAGAACCAGTCAGTTGGAGTCAACTTTTTGGGATGATATTGAAAACATCATGTATCTGGAAATCTAAATAACAGCAAGTTGTCTTTTCTATACTTATAAAATACATGGATACTATCATACTAGGTTTGTCCCTTACGCACACACGTGATAATCTTTTTTTTAAAACATTTTTTGTGATATTTGATTTTAATAAGACAATCGATTATAAAAGTTATTTGATGTTAATCTATGGTGTATATTTGTGGAAAAATGCATATTTTATTTAATATCATAGGAAACGATCATATCGTTAGTTCTATTATCGAATATACGATTATTTTTCTTGAAAAAATGCAACTACACATAGGAATTAATCTGCACATAGTGCGGTGTAATATTTTTTAAATTATTTTTAAATTTAATTTAATTTTTATTGGTTAAATTAAAATTAATAGCAAAATTTTTTTAACAAAAATACAAATAAATAAATTTGATGGTAATAGATAATAATACATATATAAATACACACAGCCAATATTTACTTATATATATATATATATATATCATCAAATAGGACTTTGAGTTAGTTTTGTTACATAGTTTAATTATTAGTAATTTTTATATAAAAATAATATGATATTAATATATATATAAATATTAACATCAATTAGAATCTAAATATATATATATCAATAAAATAAAATTTTAACTATGAATATTTTGTTAGAGATCAAACTATCATTTTTTAGTTAATGAATTCTATAATATGAATTAATAATAATTCATATGGAATTTTTAAAGTAGACAAACTCATCTACTTAATCTAGTTTGTCTACTTAATCTATTTTGTAATTTTCTAAAATACTTTTTGGCTAATCCGTAAAAAAATACAATTTCAATTTTAAAAATATATTTCATTTTTTTATAAAAATAATTGAATTGATTTTCGAAAATGATACTAATTAATTATAAAAATATAAATAAAACATATTGTAAAAGTTGAAATAGATTTTTTCATGAAATAATTATTATAAAAATTATAAAATATATTTTAATATTTTAATAAGTAAAGAAACTAAATAAACTTTTAATTTATATACATATATATTCAAAACAAATCTGTGAGCTGTATATTTAACTATCTCTTACAGAATAATATTTAATTGAACTTTTTATATTTGTAAAGTTTATTTATATGATATCTTATAAGTAAAGGTTCATTAATGTAATATTTTATATATATATATATATATTTATTTATGTAAAATATTCTGTAATATCTTACAAATAAAGATTCATTTATTTAAATGTCTACTCAAATAATAATATAGAGATATATGAATGTTAAAATAGTTAATTCCTCTCAAATCAAGTTGGATGCTCGTTTAAAACAAACCGCAAAAACATCAAATACTAACCCATTTGTAGAACTAATAGCTGCGTTTACAGATGAATCATGAGGAAGTGAACTTAATGAATGCCTCAGGCTCAATCTCTCTCTTAGGTACACAAGTTTACTCACAAGTAGAAACTTATGCTGCCTTTTGTTTACTATACATTCCTACACTTATCTAGAGATGAGATGCCTGAAGATTTCACTGCTTCAGACATATACGTTTTGACTTGCTAGCACAGTTGATTAGAACATGTTTTGCCAACTTTCGTGTTACTCGGAGAATCTGTTGTTGGAACAATTTTATAAAGCTTGTGGGTTTTATACAAATGTGTCTGTGAATTGAAATGAAGCCTTTGAGATAGATAAAAAGCCTTATGAATTAGCTAACTTAAATGAGAAAACATGTCATTTGTTCCACATTGGTTGTGTGGAAAATTTTAGAGTGGTATAAATAAGGACTATGTTATATCTTTAGTTAAAGTGTGATGGAGAAGAGAAAAGAGCACACGCGCGCTGTCGCCGCCTGGCCTGGTTGTGGCTCGTTGCTTTTTATTGGCTCTTAGGTTCTTATAGGTAGCTGGTCGTTGGGCTGTCGAGCAATTATTTTTGGACTGATTTTAGATCGCCGCCCTTCTAGAATATTCTGCGTATATTCTGCAATATTCTTGTGTGTATTGTTTAAGTCGGCGAAACTTGATCAACAAGGCCGAACCCTAGTTCTCTGTTCTACTATATATAGATTCGCCTCTCTTGAGAGAAAGGCATCTGCTTACACACAAAAACACACCCGAAAATTTTAAAGCAAAGTTATTTCAATTCCCTATTGCTAAGAGTAAGTCTTCGAGAGTATCGTAGTTTTTAGTACGTCAAATTTATTATCAAATGTCGTGATAACAGATTCAATGGTTGTATCATGCAGCTCTAAAATCGATCTTCCCGTCGCACTACAGGCGATTGGTTGAGTTACGGAAAGAGAGTTATCTCGTCTCTATTATTTTGTTTATGTAATCGCTTTTCTATATCGGTTTTGAACTTCTCTTTATTGTAACATTTATTTTATAAATCGCCATTTTATTTTTGTGCGAATTTTTGGTTTTACATCTGCTTCCAAGTTAAAAGAGTTAACAAAAGAACATTGGTTTCTGAAACTGAGATATTCAGAATATACACCTTCTTGTCATCGTTTTTAACGTAGTGTAGAATTGGTGAAATAATCTCTGGAGGTTTATATCATCATCGCTCTCTTCTAAAATAAGGGTCATAATTGTTTCCATACATAAAAATACTTTCACTATACAGTATTATGTACAAAGAAACATAAGAAACACTCAATAGAACAGCTGTGAAAACTATATTTCAACACACATATAAAGTTAAGGAACACATCATAAAGTCCATGGAGAGGAAGACATGCGAGTAGGGGAAACGATATCAAATGATATCAATCACATTGGAAATGAGTGCTTCTGACATTCATGGTCACCATGTCGTTTATAAAATGCGCAACATCCGTGAATTGAGCATGGCAGAGGTAACCTGAAGGAAAAAACGATTCAGGATTGATGAGGAAGATGTAAGATCTGGAGCAGCTATATTCTTGTATTCACATCAACATCCGAATGTCTCAAAGAGTTTTGGAGCGACCAATGCTTCTATCAATGGATTTAGTGCACTCATCATTGATCAGTGAGGAGGTGACTGTTCGACATTTGAGATGCTGTCTACAACTTTCTGAAGGAGAAGACAACTAAATGATCATTAAACTATAAATGATTATTGAGTGGAGTTCATGTGTTCATCGGAGCTTGATTCCTTAAATTGGAGTATAAATCTTCATATGTACTCCCTTTATGGCATTTAACACGATTCTTTACTTTATTGGAGAGGCTAAGATGTTAGTCCAAGTAGATTTAAATAAAGATTTCCCTCATAGGATTGCAAATAGGAATATGGAAGGTATTGTCTATTTGGTGGATGTAGAATATACTTAGATTCCATCTAAATATGATAGTTGTTAGTAGCTAGACCATAGTTGTTATCAAACAAAAATCGTTACTAAGTCATGATACCAATAATGCTATGTGTTATTTTACGGTTGTAACAAGCTCTGAAATAGTTGTCGCTAACATTGTTGTGACCACAGATTCACAATTACCATTCTTGTGAATAGAAAAGCATCCATAACCGCATAACCTTAATTATACCTCTTTTGACTCGATGAGGAAGACAAAATTAACCCACACAAGATTTCCAAAAAAGTGCAATGAACCATAGTGGATAGGCAAAATAACAATGGAAGAGGTGTCCCTGAACTATACCTGTTTCTATATTCTAATAAGAACGCTAGAGAGTTTATCTTCCATTAACTATACAGTTTCTATATTCTATCTACTTCTTTAGATTCAAATATCTTACTTGATCTAAACAGTCATATTTTATAATTTTTAATGCAATTCAACAAAAAAATCTACCGAAATTCTAAAAATATTTTTATGTTTCCTGCCGAAAAAGATTAAAAGAAAAAAGAAAATGGGATAATTATTAATAGATATGAAAATAAATAGATTGAATAGGAGGATATATATTACCAAAACTGATTAGGAAAAATAAGCAGTGGTAGAAAATATCCGAAACTAAAAGAATTAAAAAAAAAAGGAATAATTCTTAATAAATAAAAATATGAAAATAAATAGATTAAATAGAAGAATATCACCATTAGAAAAAATAAGCAGCTGTAGAAAATACTCAAAATTAAAAGAATTAAAAAATAAACTCGTATAAAATAAGCAGCTGTAGAAAATACTCAAAATTAAAAGAATTAAAAAATAAACTCGTATATATTACAGAGAAAGTTGCAATTTTTTTTTTTTGGGATTAACATTAATTTACATTAAGAAATTGCCGAAACCCTAAAGGTAAGAACAGAGATCAACAAAGTCAGAGCGACTTTCTCTTTCAACATCTTTTCTTTGTCTTCGAGTTGCGCGCGAACCAACCAGAGAAAACTACAGTTCGAAAACTGATAAAGGTTCTTACCTTCTTTCTTTCTTTCTCTCTGTTTATTTAATTTTCACGCCTTAGGATTTTGTCGGGATTCTTCTTCGAGCAATTCGTGAATTGTCTTTAGAAATTTTAGGGGTTTTGTCGGAGAATTGATCGTAGCTGACTAAGCTCTGGTTAGGGTTTACCGATGCGTGAATAGTTATTCATCTGATTGTAGGATCAAATATTAGGGTTTCGAGCTTTAGGAATTGAGGTTTTAGTGGGGAGAATTGTTCAATTGATTTGGGGATTTCGTACAATTATCAAACTTTAAGCAGCTTTTGAGTTAATTGTTTTGTTTTAAACATGCGCATCGTTATATAAGTTTTTAGCTATGAAATCGAGTGTGAATTTGATTGATTCGTTTCAGGTGGATTATGTATCCCTGCTGATTGTTATATGTTGAGTCTTGATCCAACACTTGGTATAACTTGTGAAACAAGCAAATACAAATCTAAGATTGTGTAGAATTGTTTGATTATGTTACTTCATTGCAAGTTGTTCATGTTCTCTGTCTCCGTAACATTTACTCTTCCTTCTAATTTCAGTCTCTTTGTCCGTGATCTTTATGTGTTTGATGATTTTCTTCCGTAACATATCTTTGTCTTTTTTATTGTTTCTGGTGCTTAATCCTGACATGTCGATGTTTGCAGGGTATGTTCAGAGTCTGGTGATTATCCGTCTTCTCTATAGTTCCAGTCCTCATAACCTGATGTCACCACCTATGTATTTGGGCATGATGCCTACGTATCTAAAGCCCAAGCCTAACCAACAAGAAACTGATATGTTCAATCAGCAGTTGAACATGCTACCGGATTGGATTGGATCCAGAAAAGCTACTAGTCATCATATGGGAATACCAAGACAGTTAAATGTTCGGTCTGATGAGAAGGAGGAGTTACTTGGAGAAACATTTCAGTCTGAAACTGGTTATTATCCGTCAAAACGTCAGAGAACCGAAACACCAACAAAGTCGAATCTTCCTTCTTGGAGCAATACATTCAGACTCCCTCCTCTTAAGCTACGTCAGGACCCGACTCTCCACAATGCTGGTTTCACTGCAGAGCAGAAAGTCTCTACTCCGCCGAAAAGTTTTGAGGAGGTTTCTTCATACGCTAGAGGATATTTCCCTACATCAACAGTGCCGGTATGTAGCAATTTTGTTGTTGATAAAGTCTCTGAGACGGCCAGCGGATGTTCAGATATAACGAAGCTAGATCTGGTGGAAACTTCTCCTTTGGATAATAAGCATGTTCAGGGTCTTGGTACTAGCAAAAACACAAAACCAGCAAGAGGAGCAATCAGGGTTTATTCTTTAGACGATCTGTTTTCCAGCGATAGAGCAACTCAAGCCGAGGAAAGGCCTCTGAAGCATGAGAAAATGGGATCTGGAGTGGACGTTGTTGAGCCTATGAAATGTGATGAACTGATCAAGTGCGAGTTTAATACTCACACAATGTCTCTGCAGAACCGTAACAAGAGAGACGTCTCACTTGTCGAACGTTTCACAGAAGAAGAAATAAGGTTGCATATAAAGAGTCTCAAGGAAGCAAGTATTCAGGTAACAAAACTTGGGCCTTCTCATTGCTGTTTTGCTTGTATTTTGATTTGTTTGGTTATTAATACTTTTTGCCACAGGGATGCATCAGAGAAACGTGTGATCTCAAGGAGGAAGGATGTCAATTGTGTGGCGAGGGACCACTCTTGTTCCCAGCACAACCAATATACTGCTCGCTTTGCCCTCGCCGAATCAAAGAAAAATCTACCTATTACATCCCCGAGGAAAAGATAGGTGATGCGCAACATCAAATCTGTAACCCTTGTTACAGTCGCTGTCGAAGCAAGTTCATTTTATCTGGATTCAGTCTCTCAAAAGCCAACTTGCTGAAAAAGAATAACGCTGACAATCAACACGCAGAGGAGGTAAACTTCATCTCTCTCTCTCTCTTACTATATATCTCTTTCTCAGTACATCAACTCTTACAAATGACATAAGCTCTATATTTTATTTAATTTTTTGGAGCAGTGGGTTTGTTGTGGATCTTGCGGGAAATGGCAACATCAAATATGTGGTCTCTACAACATACATAAAGACATTGACAAAACCGCAGACTACATTTGTCCCTTCTGTTTGTTAGAGGAGCGTACAAGTATCAACAATACGGGACTCCTTGACAATACGGATTTGGGGGCGAAAGATTTGCCTGAAACCATCCTCAGTCACTTTATAGAGCGAAGGCTATTCAGGCGCCTCAAAGAAGAAAGATACCAAACCGCAAAGGCTACTGGGAAGAGCATCAATGATGTAAGAATGATGTGGTTTCCGTCAATTTGCGATATGGTCTGAAACTCGGTTTTCGTTTCTTTATACTGAATTTGTTACTTTCTCTTTTCCAGGTACTAGAACCAGATGATCTTACTCTCAGGGTGGTGTTTTCAGCTGACAAAACCTCATTCGTCAACAAAACTTTTGCCGATTTGCTTCACAAAGAACATTATCCTAGTGAATTCCCTTACAGATCAAAGGTGGGAATCCATATCACAAGAGAATATGTTTTATTCTGTATGTCAAAACTGTACTTAATTGTAACGAATTTTCGATGTTTCAGGTTATTCTTCTGTTCCAGAAAGTTGAAGGAGTTGATATATGCATCTTTGCCTTGTTTGTCCAAGAGTTTGGATCAGAATGTAGCCTACCAAACCAACGCAGCATATACATCATATATCTCGATTCCGTCAAGTACTTTAGACCCGAGAGAGTGACATTCTCAGGAGAAGCTCTTCGAACATTCGTTTATCATGAAATATTGGTATACTATTCACTTTTTTCCGTACTCATGCTATCCCTACCTATTAAAACCTAATTGTTATTGACATTGACTTGTTTCATTTTTTTTGTGGCCAGATTGCATATCTTGAGTACTGTAAGATTCGGGGTTTCACTACGGGTTATATATGGGCCTGTCCACCTCCAAAAGGAGAAGACTACATTATGTACTCTCATCCTAAGACTCAGCAAACCCCCAACACTAAGAAACTTCGCCAATGGTCAGTCTTTTCTTCCTTTTTCTCCTCTCGATCCCGGCTTTATGTTTGGTCATTGTTCTTGTGAGGAAATTTTATTTAACATTAGCAACATTATTGCAGGTATGTGTCAATGCTGGATAAAGCAGCCGAGCAGAGGGTGGTGACGAATGTTACAAACTTGTATGATCGGTTCTTTGTTTCGAGAGAGGATTCTACCTGCAACATTACAGCTGCGCGGTTGCCTTACTTTGAAGGATCTTTCTGGTCCTATAATGCGGAGCTTCTGGTTCAGGAAATCGAGAGAGGAGGCAGTAATGAGTTGCAGAAGAAGGTTAAATCGATTTCTAGAAGAGCACTTAAAGGTGTTATGAGCAACAAGAGTAAGGACGGTGTTGATGTTGATGATGCTAAAAACTTTCTCCTGATGCAAAAGGTTATTATTTACGTTTTGAATGAAATATGGATACATATTTTATATATAAAAAAAATCAGGGTGTTTAATCTTTGACTATTCTGTTTTTTGCAGCTCGAAAAAATGATATCTCAAAACAAGGAGGATTTCATGGTGGTGGATTTGAATTATTCGTGTACACGCTGTTCGGAGGCCATATTATCGGGATTGAGATGGTTCTGCGAGAAGTGCAAAAATCTTCAACTTTGTGAAAGGTAAATATCTCTCTCTCTTTCTCTCCCTCTTGAGTAATTCAGAGGTTATTAGTGTTCCTCGGTTTTTCGTATAGTAACAAAAATATTTCTCTATTGCAAACAGATGTCATAATGCAGAACAAGAGCTTCCTGGGGAACACACACATAATATGAATGGCAAAGAGAAGCATTCGCTCTCAAAGGTTATTAGCGTTCTTGATCATATTTGATTTTCTTGTAAACTTGAAACATATGCGTGTGTCGCTAAACTGGTTTCTGTTTTATTTCCTCAGGCTCAGGTGAACGGCATACAGTCGACAACAGAGGATAATGATGTCATCCTACGAAATAGTGTGTTGGAAAGCAGACAAGAGTTCTTAGGTTTTTCTCAGAAGCATAATTACGGCTTTGACACGCTTCGACGAGCCAAGCATTCTTCGATGATGATACTTCACCATCTTCACACATCAAACAAGCATCATCGCTCTGAAAACTCTAGTAGTCTCCTTCAAGTGACTTGCACGGCCTGCAAAAAAGATGTTTCAACAACGATTTACTACACTTGTTTGATTTGTTCGGGTTACCGAGCTTGCACTAGATGCTTTACCGAAAGCACAATCCTTCGCCAGCTACATCTCTTCCCCATAGTCCCTTCAACTCACGGAACGCCGCCTAGAACTGTTGGGGTGAGTATGTTCATTCTTGAAAACAAGCAGAGCTTTTAACTCTGTTTCTTTCTCCTCTTTGGTTTAATTTTTGTCCCATTTTCTGACTTCAGCAAACTTACTTGTAGGCTCTTGGGATGCTGGATGCTTTGTTGCATGCACATGCGTGCCGATCCACGGCCACTGATTCGTGCTCATACCCGAAATGCAATGATGTTAAAACTTTATTCAGTCACAGAGAGGTGTGCGATGTCAAAGAGCGAGGAGCTTGTAAGATTTGCATGAATTTTTGGAAGATGATTAGGATTCACGCATACCATTGCCAAGATCCCGGTTGCCCTTTACCACGCTGCAGGTAATTTTTATTGTTTTTTTTCTTATGGTTTTTTTAATCTTCTATGCAAATTCAGATGCTAACTTGATGCAACTCTTGTGTTCTCAGAGATATGAAGCAGTACTTCATTAGGAATGGTGTGAATGGTGTGAGGCTCTAAAAAAGAGTCGAAAGACGACTTTGTACATTGCCTTTGATTATATAATGATTATAGAAGAAAATGTACAGCTCAAAAAACCTTTTTCTTACATGATAACTATTCGCTGTTCATATATGTCTCAAGTGCTCTTGGTGTTGTTCTCCTCTTCATCTTTTTTGGTTGTTGTAAGGATCCTGTTAGTGTTCAATAGAAAGAAAACCAGGTTTTCCAAGAATTTAGCTTGTTGGTTTGTTTTTCCTAGTTGAGTATCATATATTAATCCTTTTGTTGTTTTTATTATTTTATATAATTAGTACTGTGCATTGTATACGAGAGCTTAATTGGAAAGATGGGATAATGATATTTCTTTTTGGTACTTTTGTTTTTTTTTTGTCGTCTTGGGTACTTTTGTTTTACACAAATTGTATCTAACTTCATTTATGAATTATTATGATTGCTATTCAGGATGAATTTTTGGTTTTTTTTTTTTTGGGTACAATTGGCTTAAGTAGTACCATGTGCTCTTAGAAAGTGAGATTGAAGCATTGCTTGACATCGTTATCTTAAAAAGTGAGGTTGGAGCATTGCGGACTGTAAAAAGCTAAGCAGAATTGGATGAATCTGACAAAATGGGGAAAGCTTTTACCAAAACAATAACAACACAACTCTGTTGCATCTTCAAATTTGGTCGAATATAGCAGCAATTTAATAGTTTCCTAGTTGTGGAATAAATAATTCCTTTTTTTTTTTCCTCCAAATCCAGAAGAAGAGACGACGACCCAAGAAGAAGAAGAAGAAGAAGAAAAGAAGAATCGACAAGTGATTTAATATCCATCACACACACTATCTTCGAACAGCCTTTATTTGAATGATTGATAAGTCTTGGTCTTTTTAACATGACAGGAAAATAGACAAAAGATGGTAAAAAAAAACAAATAAATAGATCAAATGCAAACACTTTGTGGTTACAAGGAGACCACTCTCATAAGATAAAATTTAAAAAAAATCATCTAAAACAGACCAAAAGAATTGTAAATTATCCTCTTAACCAGATAGCAAACTAAGTGGTAGAAAATAAAACTACAAAGAAAACACTACATTTTGGTGAAAAACATCCACACTAGTTAACACCAAAATCAAAAAGAAAAAAAAAAGTCTCCTAGGATAGCTAGAGATCAAGAAGCAAACACTACTATTGTCAACAGGAGAAGATTTTGGTCTTCAACATCATAGGCAAACTACATCCTGATCAAAGATGGATTCTTACCAATGCTACGTCGTCAAGAAAGTCCAGAGCTTCTTACCAATGGATTGTTTCCCGGGATGTTCTGATTCCGATTCATCTTCTTCACCATCGTACTCGTTTCCAGAGTGAGCCCTTTGTGGTGTTTTGTTCACATCTTCTTCACTCATTGCTGCACTCTCGCATGTTCTTTTGGGCGAACCAGCATCTGTATCCTCAGAGTCTGCCATGGTTTCACTCTAATGAAACAGACAATTTAAAGAAACAGATTGGTCAAGAGAAGAAATCGAACGAAAAGGAAAAACCAAAAAATGTAGCCAAGTTGTGAGAGTATTTTTTTTTTACCTGCACCACATTCGCGCTTGCGCCATTATCACTAACAGCAACGCCTACTGAAGCTGTAGCAATGGTTTGAGCACTGTAAATGCCCTCTTCTTGTTGCACTGTAACAGTCTCTTCATTCTTTTTACCAAGAGCGGTTTTTCCGGCACCCCTAATAACCAAATGTGAAAACAGTTATTAACAGCCTGAATAAAAAGAAGCATAAGCAGCTCCAACGCATTATCCTCAAGGGCTATTTTTGAAAGTAAAAAGAAATTTGAAGCCACCTTCTAGGTCGCCGGAGATTATATCTTTGTCCCACCACTTCTTGTTGTTCTGATGTAACCTTTTGCCGCCTCTTCACGCGCTGACGTTCTCCTCCAGTGACACTATCTGATTTTCCATCACTCTCGGTACCATCCTGCTCAGTAGTACAAGTTCTCAAAGAACCCACACGGCCACGTTTTCGTCCATTCTTTGAAGCTCCTTTACCAGAATGATCAGGTTCACCCGTGTTTCCATCATTTGCTTTAGAAGAGTCCTCAACATTTTCTGTTGAATCTTCGGGCTCATTGAATTCTATAGATTTTCCATAGATAGCTTTAGCATCTTCGACAACAGCTTTGACAGAGTGCGTTCTTCTGACTCTGGCTCTGGCTTTCCCTCTAATGCGTGATTGACCATCAGCATTCAGAGTAGACAAAGAATTTGCTTCAACTTCTTGAGCCTTGCTGTTGATGTTGCTTTGATCACCGTCTGAGTCTGCATTGTTGACTTCGACTTCTCTTGTGTCGCTTACAGATTGCGCCTGAAGCATAGTTGATGGCCCACTATTCACGTTAGCTTGCTCAGTAGATTGAGGTTCTTGGCCAGCCAAATTCCGAGTAGCAGAGGTTTCGGCCATTTTTATTGGAGACAACTTAAGAATCTTCGAAGTACATTTCCGGAGCCATGACACCGTCCCACCAGGAACTGGCAATCCTAAGCCAGCAGCAGTTGGGGATATATCCCTCATTTCCTGCCTTGGTGCTTCGTTCTCAAGAATGTTTGTCAGTTTTGACAAATTAGTCATCTCCAGATTGTCAATGTCAGGAAGCACGATCTCTTGCAGCAGTTCACCGCAAGGATTGCAGTTCCTATTACTTTCCATGGAAGAAAGGAAACGATTTCTCTCGCTAATAAATTGTTCCCGCTGTTCCTTCAGTTTCTTGGTTAAGGCAACAAGGTCATCAACATCTTTTCGAATTTCTGTCTGCTGCTCTTCAAGATGTTTTTTACTAGCATCAACTTCTAGCTTTTCTTTCTCTATTCTCTGTCTCTCGTTCTGCATATCCGCCATTTCTCTTCTGGCTACGTCTCTTAGGTAATTAATATTGCTTAATTCCTTCTCCCTCTCTTCCTCAAATAACTTCTCTTTCGCTTGCAACTCCTTTTCTCTTTCTTCCAGTTTAGTCTGCATATCAGCCTCGAGATTCCTTTTGAGCATCTCAATATCATGAAGCAGTTGACTTTTTTCGCTCTCAGCTTTCTTAGAGATCACTGAACGCTCATACTCCATAGTTTCCGCAAATGAAGCCTTTGCCACTTCCAGAGTTTCGAGCTCCCTTTTCATGTTGTCATTTGCTGCTTGCTTTTCCTTTTTTAGCCTTTCGTCTTCCAAGTGACTGTGTCTCTCTAGTTTTTCTTTCTGATCAGTTATATTCTTTAGTTCGGACTCGATCTCAGCTTTCCTCTCATCAAGTTCTTCCCATTCTTTCTCAAAACATTCCCTTTGGGCCTTCAGATCCTCAACTTCTTTCAAAAGCAGCTCCTCTTGAGACCTGCACTTTTCTAGTTGCTCCTTCAATTCAGTTTGAAGACGAAGATACTCGGATCTCTCCTCCTCAGTAACTCTAAGCCCCTCCTTCTCTTTGTGAATTTCTGATAGTTGTACCTCATTTTCAGTCTTCATCTTCTCCACTTCAGCTTTTAAATTGAGAATAATATCCTTATCCTCGAGCAGTTTCCTCTTCTCAGTTTCCAATGCCTTCTCCTCGCTTTTCAAGGCCTTCTCTCTGCTACTTACGCCTTTCAGTCTTAATTCAAATTCCTTTTCCTTTTCTTTATGCTTCTCCAGCTTCCTATCTAACGCCTGTTCACGTTTAGCGACTTTCTCCTCCATGTGCTTCCACTCAGCCTCCCTCTTTTCCACTTCAACAACCTTGCTCCTCAAGCTGTCATCAATAGACTTTCTTTTCTGCTCCATTTCCAACTCAAACTCACGCTGTGCTGCCTCCAATTTAGCTTGGTGTTCATCAATTAGTTGCTGAACTGCAACCTGTCAATTTGCCAACATTAAACAACTAGCACGGTCAAAACTCAGAATGCACACATGTATAAATCACATAGACGTGATATTAACATTTTCAAAAATATAATAGTTTTTACAAACTATGAAACAATCGCGAACAAGCAAAATCAAGACGGAAATTGGAAAAAAAAAAAAAAAAAAAAAAATCCTGTACTGAGAACTAAGCTCAGAATGTGACACGAAATTATATAATCAATTGCACAAAGAAGATACCCTCTGCTATAGTCAGTAAACAATTTGAATAACTAAATATCAAATTTCATCCTCTGCTCGGGAGTTTAATGCAGCAGACTACATCCACAGACGGGAGGTGACAGAGAAATACATACATATATATATATAAGAGAGGGCTTGCCTTTTCTCTGGCATCCAGTTTCTCTTGCAGAGCTAGTAGCTCTCGCTCTTTTGTTTCTATGGATTTCTTGAGCACTTCAGTTTCCTGCATCCAGAGGAAGTATGTAAATGGACAAGATTCTGAGCACTCTGAATAATAATAAAAACTAGCCAAAAAAACAAGCTGCTTACTTGCTCCCTAAAAGCAAGAGCTTTTATCCTTGAACTGATATCGTCTTCTTTTTTTTTCAAAGCAAGGTTAGCAGCATCAATCTTCTTTTGCGCCTCTTCAAGTTCTTTTCCCTTTTGCTTGATAATCTTATCGCCTTCATTTGCCCTATCTTCTCTCTGTTTTACAATCATTTGAGATTTAGCAACTCTTTCTTCTCCTTCTTGCAACTTTCTTTCCCATTCACGCAAGTCCTCCCTCTGCTTTGACAAAGTTGCCTCGTCTGCATCTCGTCTGAGAAAAAGAACAAAACAAGTTGAACTAATGAAATCATCCCCTAAATAAGTAGCAAGGGAGTGAGAAAAGGAAAAACTACTCAACATAAGATACAGTGTAAGACATACTCAGCAATGTAGGAAAATCGCTCCCTTTGAATAGAACTTTCTCGAGCTTCCACTTCCTTCGACTTCCTCTCTACTTCCGAACTCTTTCTGCTAACTTCAGCAAGTCTTGCATCAACAGCACGCAGCTTTGCCTCAACTTCGAGAGATTTTTCTTCAACACTTCTTACCAATGCATTTGCCTCAGTCAACTTCGAGTCAGCTGTAAATTTGATCTCTGCGTTTTCAGAGCGTAGTTCCCGCAAAGCCTTCTCCAGCTGTATCAATTTTAAGTGTCAAAACGCTTATACGTGCAAAAAAGATGCTTATGGCCAAATTAGGGGAAAATTATAAGCATCTTGGAACTATGAATTAAGGAAATGACATGAGTGCATGAATCTGCCTGAAATATTTGGAAAATAGGAAAATCCAAAAGGAACATATACATATACATATAGATCATTATAAAAAGTAAACAAATTTGCAAAACCAAAAGTTGGAAACTTGAAGAACAGTATAGAAAGCTTGAAAGTTGGAAACTTACATCAACTGCACATTGCTTCTCAATCCCCAGAGCTTTCCTCAACCCCTCTTCACGCTTCTCAACATCTGCTACAGCAATCAGATGGGCATTGCGTTCTCGCTTAAGGCACTCGTTTACTTCTTCGAATTCCTGTTGAAGCTCTTCATATTTTGAACTCCACTCCTTTTGCTCGATCAGAAGAAGACCAAGATTGTGTTGGTATTCAAAAAGCTGTTTAGCAGATCAACGAATCAGCCAGTTACTCAAATAAAATATTCATGATCAAACCAAGTCGATAATTGCAGGAGAAACTAAGCCATAACACTGGTTACAAAGTCACCAAATTCTTAAAAGAACCTTGAACTATTAGTGTCACGTTGAGGCGTAAATCTTGAAAGAGTAAACATGAGAAATTCGAAAGCGAGAAAATTATCAGAGGAAACCAATGTTTACAATGCCATGAGCTGTAAATCGTAATACGCATTCAATTATTCCAACTGTTAACAAATTATAAAAAGAGACGAGACAAGAAAAAAATCAAAAAAGGCAAAACCCAACAGAAAGAGAAAAGTAACGAACCAAAGATCAGAGATCACACCAAAAACCCCACCTCTTTTTCAAGCTCTGAAACTTTCTCAGGCAATATTCTTGGATCGTCGTAGTAGATCTCACTGACCCGACCCGGAACTGGGGTCACCATGTTGGCTGGACCCTTCCCGTTCGAATCTGGATTCGTCGCTTTCGTTGGAGTAGACCAACGTTGCCACACCTTCAGAGGCGTGGACATCTTTTACAATTTCCTCAGAAACAACGAGAATTCGAAGAGATCTCTCTGAGTCAAACAAACAAAAAACCCTAACTTTCCTTCGCCGAAGCTTTCGAACGACCTTAATTCCGAAATTGAACTCCGAAAATCGAAAACCCAGATGTCGAAAACTGAAGAACAATTCCTCTGACTTCAGACTTCACTCTCAGAAAATTCCAAGAGAAGAAGGAGAAAAAACGGATAAAAGAAAAGGCTTATCCTTTTTTTTTCTTTTCTATTTTGGTGGCTCCGGATTTAAACGGAGTTCCTAAATTCCGGTACCGAAACTGATTTGAAGTCCGACAACGTCTCTAAGCAAAGCAACCTCTCTCTCTCTCTTTGTGCTGGAACCTTTTTTGTGTGGCTCGCGCGGATCGTTTTCACGTTCTATGCTCAATTTTTACTTATTTTATAAAAGTGGACCCTTAACTTTTCCTTTATTTACATTTTGGCCGCCGTCTTAGCGGTTTGCTCGAAGGTTCCGTAAGGGTAGATTTGGCATTTTTGATTTACAACGGTTATGCGCTTGCAGGTGTCCAACTTTGTTTAAAGACGAAACTACCCATGATTATAGATAAATGTTGGTAATATAGTTAGTGTGTAATATTATAGATAAACAATTAATATCAATCAGGCCAGCAACATAATAAATTTTCATAATTGGTAATATAGTTATTAGTATTACAATATATTTTTCATGATTTTCACTAATTTAACTTTTAATTATTAAAATATTTTTAAGAAAATCTAGTACATACATATTTGTTTCTTTTATTCTCAATCTTTTTCTTTTTTCTTTTATTTTTTTTCTCTCTCTGCGAATTTTTTTAATATATATCTTATATATATTAAATCAAAGTATAACAAAATACATTAGATAGATACAATACAATATAATAAAATAATAAAATAAAATTATATATTTTTTCTCCCAGAAAATTTTACTCGCAAATAGAGTATCCATCCTGTCCTTCAAATTCGTATTCTATTTGATGTGATTTTTTCTGTGGCTTTTTTCTATCATTTTCCTTGTTGTATAATATTGGCCCATTCCCAAATAAGAAGTAAAGATGTTCGTCGGAAAAGAACCCAATTTACTGATTCTTTCGACTGAAATAAAATATGAGACTGCCAACTTTCAACGACTATACGAATGTCGCCATACAATAAGGGTACATCTTCTGTTCCCGATCGTTTTACTTTCCATGGTGGTTTTCATGGTAGTAAACTCTTAATCATCAGAGTATAATCACTGGCAGAATATAAAATAGAATTAACAGAATTATATAATATACCGGGATCTCAAATTCTTCGACCCAAGGACCATCATTGGATTGCTTGCACTCGATCATTGATGACCCAGATTCTTCCATCTATTTGATTCCAGTTTTGACGGTTGAGAGACTTCGATTCCGTTGTGTCATCGTAGTGGTTGGAGATCCTCCCTACGAAGATGGATAACCCACAAGACCCACAAACGGAACCGACATAGAACTGCCCCATTTCACAGTCAAATTGGGAAGTAACCGTCCTCGAAGAGAGGAACGAGAGAAGAAGACGAAGAGACCATCGAAACAGCACATGAATCATCTTAACGAGAAGAGAGATCTTTGTGTCTTGGTCAAAGACCTGTCACTTTCGATCTTTGTTACAGACACGAAAAAAAAACAAAGATAAAAAAGGGAACAGAAACAGAAGAGAATCATCATAAGATAGAGAATAGATTTCTCTGTTTATCTCTTTCATTCAAAAACTATAACGATCTCGTTCAGATTGGAGAAAAAAACTGATATAAAAAATTGAAAAAAATCGTCATGGAGATCGCTTCCAGAGCGAAACGGTTACAATATTCAATATTTCTTGGTTTTATTCTTTCCTTGTAATCACAGAGAAAACTATTCTCTGCGAATTCTTTCTTTCTCTCTTTCTTGTTCTCTTAGTGATTCACTCTCCACTTAAGATTTTCAACTATTAACTCCATAAAAACTTTTGAGATCAAACATCCCAACCATTGGATAAATTTGTTTTGTTCTAGGATATAAATGCATTTCCTCTTGATAATCATGCTGCTGTCAAAGACATAGAAACTAATATCGAAAAAATTCCAGCACATAATAAATGTTATCTTTCCGAGACAAAGATCATTTATGGTGATTTTGACAATGAATCTATTGGAAGGACTGTAAATCTCTTTCGAGAAAGATTTAATTCTATGATGCAAAAGAAAGAAATACGGTGTGCAAAAATTTTCTAAATGAAAGAAAACATAACACAGATGATGAAGGGAGAAAGATCCACGAGTTCAAAGTGGATGCGCCACATCTATTATTACGTTTTTGATTGATCAAATATGTAAACAACTGCTATTTTCGTGAAGTTTGAGCCGAGAATGTTCGGTCAAACTGCATACTAAAGTATAATTTTTTATTAAAAATAGTAATTTTTTATTTCTTTTAATATTTTATGTATTTTTTAAGTTTTCTATGTAATTTTCTTATTATTTTATCTATTTTCCTTTTTAAGTTGAAAAAAAGATTTTTAAAGAAAACAATATATAATTTTAAAATTTTATTTATGTTATAAACAAATGGACTTCTAGTAACCGGCCCATTAACCATCAGGTTAATGTCTCATGGCCCATTAGGGTTTCTGATGCATTAGTTATGTAATGTATATATACACTGCTTATGGAAATAATAAGATAATGAGTTTTTCCCTTAATACATTATCAGCACGAAGCTCAACTTCAAACGATCATATCTCTCAAAATACAAGGAGTTAGAAGGCGATCTACATTTCATTTTGAAGCCCTGGAAGAGAAGAATCTAGTGGTGAAAACCGCTCCTCAATCCGACACCAGACGCGCCCTCAAGACTCAAAACAATCGGCGCTGTCCCACCTTAGCGGGTGATTCTTTCCAAGCGGTGGTTCCTCCATTGTAGCAGCTGTTCGTCCTCCCTTCTGGCCATCATTCTCAGGAGTTTCCAGTAGATATCTGTGGTCTTTAGCTCCCAGATCATAAGCCGGTCAGAAATCCATTTGGCGAAAAGATATGCAAGATAATATGGATATCATTGTGGATAGTGGATCGAGCCACACCATTCTAAAAGACAAGAATTACTTCATAAATTTAGTAATCAAAACCGCAAACATTAGCACTATAGCGGGTAGTTCGAGCCTAATAGAGGGCCATGGCCAAGCTAATGTGTTGTTATCAAATGGCACATATCTAGACATCTCTGATGCCTTATACTCACCCAGTTCTAAGAGAAACCTATTGAGTTTCAAAGACATAAGATTGAATGGTTTTCATATCGAAACTCAGGATGAAGGGAACAAAGAGTTTTTAATTATCACTAAAATGATAAATGGCCATAAACAAGTTTTTGAAACTATACCCGCCGTATCTACTGGCATTTACCATGCTAAAGTCAGTATGATTGAGGCTAATGCTGCTATCAAAGCACGGTTTTTAGATTACACTATTTGGCATGATCGCCTGGGTCATCCCGGTGCGAACATGATGCGTAAATTAGTCCAGAATTCTAAAGGGCACAGCCTTAAACCAAATGGTATTTTCCCTCAGCACCTCAAGTGCACAGCTTGCTCACAAGGGAAACTGATTACCCGACCTTCACCAGTCAAAGTGTCTAAAGAGACCTTGAACTTTCTGGAAAGAATACAAGGAGACATATGTGGACCAATTCACCCACCTTGTAGGACATTCAGATATTTCATGGTCCTCATTGACGCATCGACCCGCTGGTCGCATGTCTGTCTGCTCTCTTCTAGGAACCAGGCTTTTGCTAGGTTATTGGCCCAAATCATCAGATTACGAGCCCATTTTCCAGACTTCCCATTAAAGACTATACGTCTTGATAATGCTGGTGAATTCACTTCCCAAGCGTTTAATGAATATTGTATGTCCATGGGGGTAAGTGTTGAACATCCCGTTCCACATGTCCATACACAAAATGGATTAGCTGAATCCTTCATTAAACGAATTCAATGGGTTGCTAGACCATTACTCATGAGGTCACAACTCCCGGTCTCAGCTTGGGGACACGCAGTCTTACATGCTGCTGAACTAATATGCATACGACCATCTAGTGAGCACAAATATTCACCATCCCAATTGCTAACGGGTCATGAGCCAGACGTCTCCCATATTAAAACATTTGGGTGTTCAGTCTATGTACCCATTGCACCACCACAGAGGACTAAAATGGGACCTCAAAGGAGGATGGGAATATATGTTGGTTTTGATTCTCCCACCATCATAAAATATCTCGAGCCAACTACAGGAGATCTGTTTAAAGCCAGATATGCAGATTGCCGATTTGATGAATCGGTATATCCTAGATTAGGTGGTGAGACAGACAAGTTGGTAAAAGAACTTTCATGGAATCAAACATCCACACAATGGCAAGATCCTCGGACTCTAGAATGTGATTCAGAGGTCCAAAGAATTATACATTTACAAAAGCTAGCTAATCAATTGCCAGATTCCTTTGCTGACCCGAACAAAGTTACCAAATCGTACATACCAGCTTGTAATGCACCAGTACGAATAGATGTCCCCTCAGGGAAAAGTCAAGTTGCTACAGAGTCTGACGTACGTAAGAAACGTGGCAGACCACCAGGTTCCAAAGATAAGAATCCCCGGAAATCAAAGAAAGGTGCAATGATTGAAACCGGGATTCAAGAGAACACGGATACAGCCTCAGCTGATACTTACCCTATCGAACCATCTCAAGAGGTTTGGGACGCCAAAACTCAAGGTTCTGAAGGGATTGATAATAATGAGATCTCAATCAATTATATCATATTCGGTTCTCTATGGAACAGAAAAGATGTCGACATCAATGAAACTTTTGCATACAAGGTAGCACTTGAGATTGCGCACACGCAAGAGGATCTAGAACCCACGTCTATAATTGAGTGCACTCGTAGATCAGATTGGCTGAAATGGAAAGAAGCCATAAACGTGGAGTTGAATAGTTTAAAGAAACGGAATGTGTTTGGTCCGATCTTAAGGACACCATTCGATGTTAAACCAGTGGGAAACAAATGGGTCTTTGTGCGTAAAAGAAACGAACTCGGCGAAGTCGTTAGATACAAGGCACGCCTTGTAGCACAAGGATTCTCACAGAGACCTAGAATCGATTATGAGGAGACTTATTCTCCAGTGGTGGATGCAACTACATTTCGATTCCTCATAAGTCTGGCCATAAGAGAAAACTTAGATTTGCGGTTAATGGATGTTGTAACCGCATATCTTTATGGACCACTGGACAGTGAAATCTATATGAGATTACCAGATGGTATTGAGCTCAAA